ATCTTGAAATAAATATTGGGAACTAGAATCATTACAAAAATTGTCAGACTCCACTTTTTGAATGTTGAAACTCATTATTCATATGAAACTTCTTTTCTAACACAAAATAGTTATTTGATGTAATTAATAATGATAATTTATGCAAATTTGATGCGATTTTCAACTATTTAATTTCTTATGTATTTGTTGTTTTGTTTTTTATTTCTTATTATATTTATTGTTTTATTTCTAATGTATTCTTTTGTTCTGAAATACATCAAGTTACTTTGTGAAACATATAAAAGCAATTTGATATCAATTCATATCTTCACATTTCTGCTTGTACATGAATATATGCAACTATAGCACTTGTTTGATGACATGCGCATACTAATTGTTATGTTACACCTTACAGGTATATCCGATTTCGACGAAAATGGTATCAAAATGTGCGTAAGACTTGAGGGAAAATTTTCGAGCGGTTGCAGCGCAATCTCCGAAAATGTCGAGGCCCCCCCCCCCCCCCCAGTACAGTTAGGTTAACGGTGACTAAATTACAAATTCATGTTGACTTTTGTTGATCTGTAATAATGTATACACGTATTAAGCATTGCATGTTTTTATACAATTCCCACTCACAATATTCTATCGCATTTTAAGTAGCTGTTTTGTCAGAAATCCCCAAGCAGCTCCATGAAAAGAGGGTTTTGATGGGCTATTATATGAAAAACATGCAATGCTAATGCAATAAGTTACTGAGTGGGTGAGGACATACCACTGTCTTTTGTGAACAGGTGGTCAGTTGATGGGAAGGGACATATCAATGTCTTTTGTTCATCTAGCCATGGACAAATGGACACTGAACGGTACCATAATATATTCATGCACCTGACTCTGTCAAAAGTACTATGATTACATTCCAGACATGCTTTCAAGCTTTGATCTCATCACGACCGCCGCCATTCACTGATCCATAAAAAACCCAGAATTACTGTGTCTTGAAGAATCTACAAAATGCCTGCGCAAAAGAAACTGAATCGCTTAAAATCACAGAAAAGCATGTGCAGTTGTGGCGTACATTGTGAATAGTGACGCACATGAAGTTTTCAATAGGAATTAGAAGTGTTTACAAAAGAAACCTGTTAATTTGGCTGAAACACAATGATTTCTAACTCATATGGTAATAGGACAGTAAAGAATATGTATTTTTCAAAGTTTGGCAAGTCCAGATGTATGTTCAGTGTCCACTTCTTTAATCATCAATCTAATATCACACAATTGTCAACATTTGGGGTTCACTGCTCCTCTAACTTGTCTTAAATCACGATACTTTTCCAGAAAATACACTCTGGGCCCTGGCCCAGCGAAAAGAATCTGAGGAAATGTAAAAGATTCCTTTGTCTGTGACGATGCGTGATTACATAATCAACATTGTCGCGTCAAATGAATGTACTCATTAACAAACACATTATCAGGTGGCGGTGGTCATGATGTGATCAAAGAAAGACTCTCATTATTAGTCCATCTGTAGTAGGGTCCATGATCTAGCTGACTGATTAATGACTGGCATGATGATGATTTTTTTTTTAGGAGTGGTGCTTAGAAGGTAGAACAAAAGTAATATAAAAAATAATATAAAATATAATATAATATCATATTTTGTTATTCAAACATCTAATTATATTTCATAGATGTTTAAATATGTTTTAAATAATTTTCTCAGACCTGCTAAGCCCAACCCTAAAAGAAAAGCTTCAGGTCTCATTCATCTTGTGCCATCATCTGTCAATCATTAGCGAGCTGACAAAAGACAACTTGGAATGTAGCTTCACCAGAGCCGACCACCTGTTCACAATATAACATAAAATACCAACATAGGAGTTGCTATGTCAGACGTGCTGTAGCATCACAATGAAAATAAAGGTAATCTGGAGGTATTGTATGAAAGAATGCAACTCTTTTGTGAGCATGTGCTGGTTCAGCTGGATTAAGAATGTCACGTCAATGAACAAAGGGCGTGTCTCGTATTGGAAAATTATCAGCCTTCACTTCTCGTTCACTTCGCACACAGATTCCAAAGAGTAAGTAGCAATGAATTCTCTTCGTCCGTTTAGAATTAAAATCATTTCAAATCCATTTTGTATCTGTAGTTTTTTCATGTTAGTCTATTGATTGAATATAGGAGGTAGGATATGGAATTTCGTGTACCTCATTTTTTTGTGGCATGTATTTGTAATAGCTGAAAAAAATGTTTAGTTTGTCTAGAATTGCTAGTAACTTCGAAAACAAAAATCATCTGTTCTGATACCAAGTCTGTCTGGCGTTTAGGTTGGACTGTTAATGAAGGATAACTTATCCTAAAGAATAAGTTTAGCTGTTCTGAAAGATTTATTGCGTTCTTGCCAATCAATCTACAATATTCCCCACCAAAGTGTATGAGAAAGGCATAAAGCAAGAGTAAAGTACAATTTCTCAGCAAGACATGGGTATCGCCATTTTTTTGATTGCATGACGTTTACTGCGTAGTCTTTGAACTAAATCATTCAAAATTATGGAAGCTTCCTTCCTGCGTGTGTGTGGTGTTGAAGCATTTTCATTCACCTGCTATTATCCTTTGTACTCCGATTGCCAGAACGCAAGTAAGTTGGTGCTGTTCTGGGATGATGGTTTCGCATAAATTTTTCAACCGCTTTATTTATTTTAATAAATGAGTTACATTGTTACCTATCATAGATTTTTCACCAAATGTAAATGTTACCTTTTCGGCTATGATTCACCCTTATTGAAAAGAATGGTTTTGTTATTGAATTAAAAAGTCTTTCCGATTAAAATTTTAGTGCATGATACATGTACAAATCTGCATGGTACATCACATTTTCATGAAAATAGCCGCGCCCATGACATGTCATGCTAAAAGGCAATACACCATGCCAGTGAACTTTAAACGTTAGCAGTGTCCTAATATTTATGCAAGGAAACCAGTTTACTTGCTAGACTTCACTGTCAGACACTATTGAGTGACTGACTGGCTTTTTTCTTCTTAATAACATACATACAATGAGCAGTAAAGGGTACATAGGCATTTTTCTGCATCAATAATCCACTTCTTGTAATGGCCCAAATTAATCTGATTGAATCTTTGCGCAGCACAAAACGTACGACCGTTCGGTACAATGTCTGAATATCCGAAGATAACTTACTGACTTGGTAGCACTTAAGTCGATTACTAATAGTCGCTATTCTCCCACTTAAAGACATTTTCAAGCCCTCCTTTTTTAGGGAATTTCGAAATTAGTATTCTCTTTCAAAAATCTTTTCATTTTTGTGGCCTGCAATTTGGGACATAGTACCAGGGGAAAGAGCTAACAAACCCGTGATTTCCCCCTATTTCGTCTACATAGCAAGAGGTTATAATAATACAAAAGCCTCTGAAAATCATTTTTGTGAACCAGTTTCCTTCATCTAAAACCTTTCAGTGCCACTGACATTTATTCAAACTAATAAGGACGGACCGAGAAGAAAGGTAAAAAATTAGATGAAAATCGAGCGCGGCCGGTTCACAATCAATTTCGAAGACTATTAGCGACGAACTACCCCATCTTCTTCTTCTTTTGTTAAACAGTCCGGTCAAGATAGCGAAGTTTAGGAGATGACCCAAAGTTATTGCAAAACAAATTATTTCACTGCAGTGTCTTTCGGAATAATCATTTAAAACATCATACTAAAGGTGTAGGAAAATCTAAGTAGTGTAAAGCATGCAGTTAAATTTGCACAAGTTAGACGCAAATTGGATATGGTCTTATACAAATCTGTAGTAATCTGCACTTCAGTACCAGAATGAAAGGGTTTTAGTATGCAAAGATTTCAGGTGAGTGAATACAATTACAACATATTCAGAATAATTTCTTGACTACAATTTGCATGATTTATATGCAAATCAAATTCGGCCACGAGAAAGAAATTCATGTATTTTAAAATAATTTTGCATCTAAGTACCCGATTTAACTAATTCAAATGCCCCACATTTTTTAATGTTACTTCAAGGGCAAGTCCACTCCCAAAATAATTTGATTTTGATAGATGCATCAAACATAAGTAGAAATGGATGACTAATAAGGAAGTTATGAAGTTCTGAACAATTATGGAACTTAGAAAATTACTACACAAATTGCCAATTTGGTTATCAGTTTGTGACGTCATTGCCTCACTATTTATCAATTGCTCTATATATTTGTATCCCATTAATTTCCCTTTTTATCTCAAAAAACTTGATTTCCCCATGCTTTTGCCCAGGTCAGGCGCGTACGCAGGATTTTTTCAAGGGGGGGGGGGGGGGTTAACATTTTTTAATCGGGCCGAAAAAATCGCAACGACTCGGCCAGCCGCTGGATAAGTGAGGGGGGGGGGGGGGGGATGGTATAAAGAGGACACTTTTTCTTTCTTTTTTTGGTCTCGAAATTTGGAAATTTAACATTTTGCTCCGTTGGGGGGAGGGGGGGGGGGGGGGGGGGGGGGGGGGGTAAGGTCAACTTTTTTTAGGGGGGTTCCTCCAAAATACACACATTTAAAATACCAAAGGTGGGGGTAAACCCCCCTCCCCCCTGCGTATACGCGTGCATGTTATGTGATTTGGATCATATTGCGTGCATGACATCTCACAAAATATTTTGAGCTTTGAAGAATTGATACTATTTTCTGAATATTGTGTATTCCTAATCATTGAATTTGTTTATATTAAATAGTTTATCAAAATTCTTATTTTTCATGACTCTACTGAAAAAAAACCTCTATATTTTAGTGCATCCACACAAAAACATTAGAATCTACTATCAATATTTGGATCCTGGGGGTGTTTCATAAAGCTTTTGACTTACGACTATGACAAATGTGATATCTATGACAAATCTGATTACGACTATCGTAGCTTGTTATTGAAGTGAAAATCCGTTTCATAAAACTATAATAACAAAGTGATTGTTTAAAAAACGATCATTACGATTATGCGCGTGCGCAATAGCTCCATTTTCTTTGCCGTCGTCTGCAATCACCTGTGACAATGAACCCAACATCGGTGCTTGAAATGTTTTTTTCATAGAAATCCTGTAAGTACATGTCATATTTATTTTCTAATACGTAGAATTATATTCATAACTCGACATCTGTGTTCTTATTTATATTTAAATTCTTTTCACGCGGTTAAACAAAGATTGATTATGAGAGCTCGTACGTATGCGAGTGTTTGTCAAATTTCATGCGCCCAACCCGAGAGCGGGGGCTGTGTGTAACGCCCGGGGTGGTGGCGGGCACTTTTGCATCAGTCCTACCGTCATCCGATGCTGTTGTCCGGAGTGACTGAGCTGTCGGAGCTGAGTTGACTTGGACCGAATTTTCCGTCTCTTTCGTTCGTTAGCCTCTTATTGGGGTAGGGTCGGCCGGTTAGCCTCTTATTGGGGTAGGGTCGGCCGGCCGGCCGACCCTACCCCAATAAGAGGCTAACGAACGAAAGAGACGGAAAATTCGGTCTAGAGTTGACTGAGCTGAGCAGAGCTTAGTTTCGGATTTAATAAATTTAGAACCAAAAATTACAGTTCTATTTTATCCTAATTATCAAAGCAGCAACTCCTGCAGTAAACTGCAAGAACCCAAACAGTGTCTAGATCTAGATTTCTAGATCTAGACTAGGTCTAGTGAGAAATAGGAATGTAATCTAGAGTCAGACTCAGAGTAGACAGAAATAGCCGTCTGATTTGGGTCATTTCTTTAATAAAACTGACATTTGTTGACATTCCCCAATAGTGGAGCCAGACGTAGTCTCAGTGGAACAACCGACGATTAGAGAGACTGAATGAAGTTTTCGGTCTAAGAGTAGAGTAGACTTTAGAGACGAGTCTATAGTCTAGATCTTTAATTTTTGCGTAGGGTCCAGTCTTAAGACTAAAGAGACTAAAGCTACTGTAGATCTATATAGTCTAGCAGGGAAAAAATATTTTAACAATTTTTGGGCCAGACCGAAAGCTTCAGCCTCTGATATCGAGGGTTGTTGCGCTGAGATTGCCATCTGGCTCCTCTGACCGCCTCTATACATAGACTAGATCTATGGGAAATATGTCATCAAATGTCAGTTTTATTAAAGGAATGACCCATATCAGACGGTTATTTCTGTCTATTTTGGGGGCTGCTTTACAAGATAGCTTGCTAAGAGCACATTAAAAAAAAAAAATTGGTCCAGGGTTTGATGAAAAATTTGGCAACGACTCAACCAGTCGCCGGATAAGCAGGGGGGGGGGGGGGGGGAGGGAGGGGGGCACCTTTTAATTTATTTTTTTGTCCCGAAAATTATCGCTATTTCGATTTGTTGGTGGGGGGGGGGGTATTTTGGGGTCACCCATTAGCACATTTGTTTCCATTTTTTTTTTAATTAAAAAAATAGAATGGGGGGGGGGGGGGTTCGACCCCCCCCCCCCCATCCCTCTTTGTACGTGCCTGAGCACAATATCTGTTAATAAATATATCTTGGCCAGCTCTATTTAACATGACGTCATCTTGGACAAAAATAGCAAAAAATTGATAATTAGTAAATAGTAATGCCCTGCCTCCTTTAAAAAATAAAGGACGAGAAACTCCATTTTTTGTATGTTGGCCTAATGAAGGAGGTTTTTTGTGTAAAATCCTAATTAAAACACGTTAATTCTGCAAATGCTCATCAATAGTTAAATGGTTATAAGCAGTTTTCAGTCTAAAAATTAAATTCCCCCTCTCTTTTACAGGAAAATGTACAGAGAGACTTGTCGCAGTACCAAATGCTTGCCTCCTCTGAGTATGTGCTTGAAACAAGAATGTCCTGGAGAAAACAGACAGTCACAGGAGAAGGTAAGCATATACAGTCAAACCTGCTTTAGTGACCACCTGTCTATAAAGACCACATTGTTCTTCTCCCTTGAAAATAGTTTCTCATTGAAACATGTACTAAAGGAACCTGTGGGGATGCAAAGGGGTGGCTATGCATCAAAATGTCTAATAACAAGTTGCTGTAGTGTTCATTAAGTGTATTTTAACTTCCAATATGTATCTCTTTTTAGAATTAACATTTAAAGCTTATGGAGAAAGTGGTTGGGTGGGGGGGGGGGTCAATACATGAAAAGGAATGGCAAGCAATATTTAATAATGCTATTATATTTGTATTTTCTTACATATTTTGTCAATATTTATTGAAATGTTTATAATTCTGTTCCAGGAATTGAGAAGGAGGGCTTCCTGTCAAGAGATCATGGGGTGCCTTGAGGTTCCAGCCTTGAATTTTTGCTCTTTACCCCTAAGCGATGGCCTCTTGTAGGAACAAAGCATAATGGACTGGTAATTCATAGTAAATATTACATGTTATTTAACCAATCTGGGAAAGAAATGGAGATAAATTCATAGGATTTGAGCCTGTTATAGCATTTTGAGTTACCCCACATTTTCCCCTGCAACAACTGCTCCAGGCTTTATTTCGTCAAAGGTGTAGGGTTCGATCGAGGGCTGCAATTGGGATTGAGGTGGTTTAGGGTTAGGTTTTGGTCTAGTGTTGGGTCCAGGGATAGTAGGAAATTGACGTGGAGCTGTGGTCTCTAGAAAAAGTGTCGTACAACACAATTTGGCAGGTGCTGGTGAAGCTGCATGTATGTTACTCATCATCTGTATTGTGATAGCAGCTTAAACATGATGAAGAGTGGAAGGGAAAATAGTATACCGTACAAGACTTCTTTCCATCATTTACAATAGCTTTAGTAAAGTAAAAATACACTGACCTGCAGTTTGTGAAACATGTATTGTAGCACTGTATTACCAATTAAAAGAAGTAAGCGATTTTTACGAGATAGGCAATTGTTTACTGGTTATGCTGTAACACAAAATCAATTCTTAACCTTAATCTTTGATCTATTGCAAAACAGAAATTTATTAAAACATTGCCGGACCCAAAGTTAGGTAACCTTAAATCCCTTTCTACATACTGGTGTTGTTCAAAGTTGATATTTTACAACACCCTTACTTCAAGTTCTAAAATTTCTGCAAAAACATACCCTGCTGTTCACTTTATAATTATTATTTTACACTGCTTTCACAAACATGCTCTATACAAACAGGTGCCTGTACATGTAATGCAGAAGCTCATGATGATATGGTAGACAAGACAAGGACCTTGCTGTGTAAAGCTCAGAGGCCAGATGACAGTGTCTGAAGTAAGTTGCCCAATAGAAGAGCAGAATATATTGTGTAAGTGGGATGGGTTGTAAGTTGCAATCGTCAACCAACCAATCCATGCTACCTGCAACCCATCCCACTTTCACAATATATTCTCTAGACAACAGTAAACTACAATCAACATTTGGTTTATAGATTAAAAAAGGCTACAGAAAATGATTAAATCTCCTTTTTCATACTCCTATATAGGAATTTTTTGTTGTTGATATTTTAGAATTAAAATTGTTATTAATTAAAAAAAAAAAAATTCTTATTATTTATTATTATCATTATTAGTAGTATTATTATTATTTATTTATTTATATATATTTTTTTTTATTTTTTTATTTTTTATTTATTTATTTATTTATTTATTTTTTTTTTGGGGGGGGCATTCAGCCTAGCAATACAAGGCCTAATTATCGCATTGGGCTATATCCTAGAGATAGTCGCCCCAGAAGTGTGATAAATAACAAATACGTTTGTTTACAACAAAAAACAAAAAAAATAGGAATGTACTCCTGTCGAGCCAACAGTATGTTAATGATAATCACTATAAGTAATACGCTAAGACTCCGCGTGGGGCATGATGTCTCCGCGAGCCTTTGTATTCTATTGTTTTTTAATGAGATCGCCGACCGAAGTAGGTGCAGCTATCTCCTCCTGAACCCTCCCCTCGGGGTACCGGTGACCGCTGCCATCGCCCGCGGGAGAGTCTACTCTGTGGAATTGGCTATACACCGCCCGAGGTCCTCCTCCTGTCCACGTCCAGGGCGAAAATAGACGCGATATGCATAATGCATTATATGCGTGACGACAGAGATACGTCATGCATATTCAACATTACATCCTTATCAAAGAGACACACAACAGATGACCAACAACTCACATTATGTTGCGTATTAAATGCTCTATGCAAAGGGCGGGATTACCGAGAGTAAAGCGTCTTGCTATAGGATGTGCTTTGTAGTAGCGCTGCACAAGCCAGAGAGATACACGGGGCTTCCCGTCGAATTTCCAAACTTAGAGACCTATTTCCATCATGATTGCCACGTTTTGTATATAGTTTTCGTGAATGGAGTTATGAAATCAAAGCTTATTTTGTGATTATTACGGCCATGTTTACTGAATTCTGATTATCATTTTCTAAAGGAAAGTTTTCACAAGAAAATCATTGGACTGACAGTTCAGTCGCAAGCTGCCTTCAGTCAACACACATACAGTACACACAGTGCTGCTGCGCTGTGTCGGCCGTGCCGGGACTTTGGCTGAGTGCATGAGGTAGAGTCTAAGAGTATGGGAGGCCAAGCAGGCCAATATTCGTATAACTATACAATTACACATACGTCTATCCATCCATCAAAGAACCCGTCAACACAACAGCGTGCGGGCCGAAGTGCCATAATTTTGTACACCTATACAGCTATAAAACCATACGACTCTACGTCTACTCAGCCATCGGAGACTAATATTGTCTTATATCTATAGTAAATTACAAGAAAATTTAAACAAGGTTATGAATTGTACATTTACATATTAATAGTTCAATATCAACCAGACAGAAGTATGTGACTTCATGCATTGCAAAACAGTCAGTTGCGTAACAAGTAAAATCGTTTGGGGGGGGGGGGAATGCTGAAAAAAATCTGCATCACCATGCACCATTCTTACATGTTACATGCAGACTCCAAGAAACGTTCTTCAAAGTGTGGGGGGGGGGGGGGTTCAGTTAGATCGCAGCGAGTTGAGTGTTTATAGGTGTGGGGTCCACAGGTTTCAAGGGGCCATAAACCCTCGAAAGCTCACAGGTTTTAGGCATTTAATTAGGGTCAGATGAGCATATTTTTAATACTTTATTTGTGACACTGGCAGGTCACTAATTGGCGTGGGGTCCATACGTAGATTTGCATAGTGCTGCGTACCAACTACGCTGGCCTACGTTACTACGTGTTGATGGACGCAAACAATTCAACATGTTTAATTTTTTTCGCGTACTTTCGGCGTAGAAACTTGACGCACAAAGTACGCCTTTTCACGCAAACACTACGCTACTGTACAACAGTACAGTACGCTACCCTACGCCAGATCGACAAAGCAGTAAAAGCTTTCCACACAGTAAGCAACCGTAAGCAACACTAGCCTATGCATAACCTACGCAGGGACTACAGTGAAGCAACATTTTTCCATTAATATGCAGCCTAATTTCTGCGTAGTCTGTACGCCGCACTACGCAACTCTACGCAGTTCCAGTGTGAAAGAGGCTTAAAGAATAACTACCGGTAGAGTTGGATCGATTTTTTTTAAAATAAATGGTAAATAAAGTTCTTGGTGGTTTTAATTTAGAGAGTCTCTATCATGGGCGTCAATCCTTACGTAATACCTATTGTTCAGGGGGATGAATGAATAGATCATCCCCCCCTGAACAATAGTTATTACGTAAGGATTGACGCCCATGGTCTCTATATATCTATTTACACCCCTGCCCCCTCTAGAATCCGCGGATTTCCGCTGGTCCTGCTAGTAATTATAATAATAGTGTAAATTTATAGAGCACACACACCATCAGGGACGGTCATGGCGCTAGCTCAGCAACAGTTCTAAAGTAAAGTAAATGTCCATTTGACAATAGAGTTATACCATCAGAAAGTCAAAACAATTTTGCAACATTATATAGAACTGATAGCCTTTTGAAGATTACTAGAAGAAGTAGAAGAAAAAAAGGGCGATGAAATACACTGATGTCAGCTTTACATATTAAAGTGCTTGTACAATATTTGAAAATGTTTTTTTTTTTCTTCAACTAATCTTTTGTTCATGAACAGCCAGCTTGTCAGAATTGGACACAAAGATGCAAGTGGACTTGTCTTCAGTAGTGGCTAAAGAGGAGCAGTCAGCCGAAGGAACACGCAACTCCAAGACAATGTGGATACTGGATACTTCTCTCAAGTTCATCTCTAATCAGAACATTGCTCTTCAGGAATCAAGATGAGACAATGGAGGTAGAGGAGTTTGTGACCCTCCTGACTGTGGACAACTTGCATTATACATGTAGCACTACTGCACAAAACTCGACTAGTCATGCTTGAACAAATCGTACAAAACACTTGTTGAAGCATTGATTTATGTAACTGGTATTATAGCCGTAAGGTAGAGTTAAGCTTCTAAATTTGAAGAGAAACTTTGTCCCATAAGAACCCCCCCCCCCCCCTTTGTTCTTCTGTAAACCCCTTGAGCAAGGGATCAAATGAATTAAAATCCAAACTTGATTAATAACGAATTGATCTATTAAATATTGTCATCATTTCAGTATAGTTCTTTGTGTGGAGATCAGTGAATGGATATTTTCATGTACAATGCAAGTGAGGTGTCTATCTTCATTGGAATTCAGGATGTGAATTCCAATGAAGATGGCTTATTTTCAAGGAGCGAAGGATTGCTGTGAACGTAGTGACATATAGGGAATGTTTCCCTGTATTGTCGGATTGAAGTTTGGATGGCATGGATGTTGAATAATGTGAAGTTAGTGAAAATAATGGTAGAATATACTAAATTTGTACACCAGCCTATGGGAAATTAAAAAAATTGCTTTATTTGAACACTTTTGTACACAGGTCTATGGACAAAAATAGCAATAACAACACTTACCGCACCTCATGGAGCTGCAGTAAATGTTACCGTTGGTATGACCACTTACCGCTGTTTTTTTCAGCGGTAAAGTTTTATGAAACGGAAAGTTACCGCTGCTTCCAAATTTACCGCTGAAACTGGAATTTACCGCTGAAAAGTGGACTTACCGCTGCGGTAAATGCTTTATGAAACGGGCCCCTGAGGAAACGAGATTCTTAGGGGGGAAATTGGAAATGTATATTATCAATATATTAAGAAAAACCATTAGTGTATATTGAGGCAATGACGTCACAGACTCATGAGTGAGTTGCCAATTTGTCTTGTGATGTTTAATGTCATTACAAATTCATGACTTCCTTATTAGTAATCCGATTTTGCTCAAACTTTTATTGATTGGTTTGTCTAAATTTTCTGCTTCTATTGAAATTAATTTTTTTTTGGAGTGGACTTGCCCTTTAACATGTTGGACACAAGTCGATGTCCAAATTTTGAACCAAATTTGCGTAATATGCTAATAAGCGTCCGTCTTAAATAAATTAAAAATCATATTTGCCCTACGAATTTACATCCAAGTTTCCCATTAAAACAAATAGAGTGTTTAAAAACAGATGAAAAAGGATATTTTCTTAATGCGTTAATAATAACCAATAAAGAAATATAAATTCATATTTCATTTAAGATATCTTTAACAATAACCAAGTTCAACAAATCGAGTGTTTAATCCATGGGTTTTAAGGTATTTGGATAACATCGGAAAATGGAAAGATAATCTAACATCCCAGTTAAAAAATTATTTACTACATGATAATTGGTGTTTCTCATGTCACTATTATTAATATATTTTATGATGGTTATAGCCAGTAAATCTTACTTGATATGCAAAATAACCCTAACAATATCAATGATCGGATTTTAAAGGCCGGGCTATTTGAGGTCTTAGTACGACTCGGCCGATCTCCGCGAAAATTTGGACGCATGTCAAGTGAAGCGTATAGAATAATATAATTTCAATTTTTTGAAAAAAATCACTCATTTGCATATGTATGGTAATTTATGCAATAAGGTCATGAATCACATTTTTACCCATAAATCATATATTTATATTTAAGCATTCTTTTTACCACATATATTCATTGGACCATTTGGAATAATAATACGACCAAAAAAATTGGAAGAGCCAGCTTATTCCTTATGTTATCTCTTATTTTGATAATTTCTTATGTATTCCGATGTTTTTTTAACTTATGTATTTTATTGTTTTTGTTATTTAATTTCATTTCTTACTACAATTCAACTATTTTGCCCCCAAAACAACGACCTAAACTATAAACAGTCCCAATAACCAATGTTTGATCTATTTTTAGGAAAAATGACGTTTCCATATGTTTTGAGTACACAAATCACAACAATGAGCGATTTTCGGGCTGACATGCAAAGACAAAAGGTCACATGACCTTGTAACAGTAGGTCCGATTTTCAATTTTTTTTTTTTTTTTTTTAAAGATGCGCTAAAAAAAAGTCAGTGAGCGGCGGGGCGCCATCCATATGCGTTCCCGAACAATCAGAAAAATTGTGGAGGGGGGGGGAATAATGGCCCCCGGTCTTATTAGGGTTACAGATAGGCTATCCGATTAAAAATACGACTTGATATAAATGTAAACTGAATGAATGTAGAATACAAATCAAGGCATAAAAAGTATTTACCCTTTCATTATTGCACAAAAGCAAATTAAAACCCCATTTTCCGCACCCCTCCAAATTACGGGTCAACAGGGGTCAAATTTGCCGAAGTTGCAGTGACGACATAACATGTGGACCCCATCTGTTCACCTTTATAGCTAAGGCGATGAGGTCGACAACTCAACGACTCGACGATTTTCAAAACTTTATTTTTTGAGTTTTCAGAGAGCTGATACTCCTCTGACAGACACTTAAATGGCATATTATTAATTTATATTATTGTAATCTGTGGCTTATAAGCTTTACGTTGATATTTATATCATCCGTTTCAATATAGTCTTTAAATTGCATCAAACCCCTCTCACAGGAATTTAAGAGGTGAAAACTATGCTTTCGGGGTCGGCAAACATTTTCTGATTTACATTGCAAATATTTCGCCATCAATGTTATGAAAATATATATTTAAATGATCAGTTTCCATTCTAATGTATGGAAGTTAAAACTATTATGTGTGAATTACTTTAATCACCAATCTTAAATTGTGTTCGTCACGTTTAGTGACAATGCCACAATCAATTACATTGCTGTTGATTCAAAATTGATTCAACTGGGATTATAGATGGCAAATTAAGATACAATTATGAATTGTTTTATAATTATGATGGAAGCTTATTGGTATATTTTGCGAGCCTTAACAATAACATTGGTTTAAGATGTATAGACTTTGTTCACTGACCTCGAAAAAATTAGACTGAACACTTCATTTGTACGAATCAGCTTTTACAACGATATGAAAATATGAATTTAAATTTAATTGTTGACGATAATATGCTTACCATGCAAATTATATAAATCACAGTATTTTGAAAATATTAATCTATTGCACTGCCTTCGAACACACTGGACATGAAATTTTTTTTTTTCGATTGGAAACCAAAGTGCAAATTGATAGGGACATTTTTGTATATTTTTAATGACTAACGCTTATTTGCATAATTTTGGAAATTTGTTTAATAATTTGGAGGTCAGACTGTGGCCACCGTGATTAATAACATTTAGAATCAATATACAGTGGGGCATTTGAATTATTTCAGTTCTGTACTCCTTAGATGCAAAATTATAAAGTTATGAATCTTTATTCATGGCCGAGTTAATGAACCTCATTATTAGAATCTGAAAATTTTGTCTATGTGTTCACTGACCTTATAAAATGACTTAAACGCATTGTTTAACCATGCCAAATCTGAGACGCGTGTCCCTAGGTGTTATCAGCGTCTGTGATATGGTGTAATAGAAAGTCCTAAAAAGAATTGCGCTTCGAAGTTGATCAAATGTGCCTCAATGCCTCAAAAAAAAATTGAGTGACCGGTTTTTACCATACTCATTTTCTCTAAGTACTGTAGTGTTATAAAAACCGCCGGGAATTGGTTTTTAACAATTCGAATTCCAATCATAAATATCTTGATAATCAGCTTGTAAACGTCATGGATTCCTGACTACCCAAAAGGTTTATAATTAAGATTGCAGCATGAGCTAAATCCGGGATTTTGTTTAGAATCTGAGACAAAGTTACCCAATACCTTTAAACAAAATTGTTATTATCATTATTGTTATTATAGATACAACTGACTACTGGGCAAACAATCATACTGTGAATAAAATGTTTGAAGGTACTTGGTAAAGATTAATTTAAAACAAGTAGTAAACAAGCAGTAATAAAATTCATCTACTGTGAAGTTTTTAGAATGTTAACAGAAGTAAATATTGATAATAACAAAGGCGCTGCACACGTAAATTGTCATGTGGGACTTGATGCAAATGATTGGTCAACTCTTCAGCTATTTCGCTTGTTAGGCGCCTTGAGCATCTCTTGGGGTGGATATGTGCGCATTATAAATGTTGTTATTATTATTATTATTATTATTCCCTGACATATTTTGAACATGAGAGCATTCCAAAAGCTATTCTTTTCAAGAGCCTCTTTGAGCTTTTGTATTTAGAAAAAAAAAATCGTGTGGAATAACAAGTAAAATTACAATTCTTAATGTAGTATAGTATATAGGCTATCAGAATAGGCATTCGTGTTTGTTTTTTTAAATACATTTTGATTAGATGTCTATGTATTAAACATCTCCATTAATTTGAATTTTTCCAACAGGAGAGAAAGAGAAAGACAAAGAGAAAGACAAAGAGAAAGACAAGGAGAAAGACAAGGAGAAAGACAAGGAGAAAGACAAGGAGAAAGACAAAGAGAAGGACAAAGAGAAAGACAAGAGAAAGACAAGGAGAAAGACAAGGAGAAAGACAAGGAGAAAGACAAGGAGAAAGACAAGGAGAAAGACAGAGAAGGACAAAGAAAAACTATCTAGAGGTAAATATGAATATTCTCATAAGACATATATAGGCCCTAGCTAATTTGCATATTATGCAAATTTAACTAATTTCCACTATACATTTCCATAAACTTTTCGAAATTCGGTGAGTGGAATACATTCTGTTTGCAATTTGTTTTGGCTAAATTACTACATGGATTTTGCCTCAACTAGAATTCCTCGAGTCCTTGATATCTGCGGGACTCTCCAGCAGATTATCAGAGAGGTTTTTTCTGTTCTTTCCTTCAATCATTATGGGGGAAGGTTCGGAGGGCGGGGGGAGGGGGGGTACCTATATCCGTCAATTTGCTGGAACCCGAAGTTTTCCCCTAAAGTTTGTTTTCTAGAACTGTTAGAAAATCATTATTGGTCTTCTAGAAAGGAATAGTACCAGTCTATATTTGCTTTATTTCTTCCTCTTTCTCCCTCCAATATCGTATCGCTCATTTATAATACCCCTGATATTTTCATCTCTCTCTCTCTCTCTCTCTCTCTTTCTCTCTCTCTCCATTCATAAAAAGAATCTGAACAATAATAACTGATGTTACCCTTTCAAGTTGTGTAACTATGTTCTCTATGCAAATGGGCCTATTCTTGTGAATCATCTTACAGGGGCATGCATGCACCGTGATATTAAAGATAAAGACTAGTTCTGGTCAAGCGATTGCATTGTGAAAGACACGTTGTAGAATCGATCAGAAAAAGTAACAACCACTTTTCACAGAAAGATGTATATGGAACTACGCTATATCTATCCAGTCTGGATAGATATAATAATTTACACCCAATATATCAATTAGTAGGCCGTTTCTCGGCAAAATTGTATCATCACGTATTAGTCAAAACATATTCTTTCACATGATTGGTAATAAGAGCTTCCATTTCATTTTTGAGAGGGGGGGGGGGGGCGGCGTTTCCGAAACTGGTCTTTACCTTTAAAGTTAGGCAAAAGGGATTAAGGCATAACAGGGTTTTTTTTTAGCAAAATCGGATTAAAAATGAACAAATTATGAAGGTTTGGAATGGCAAATTGCCAACTTTGTGATGTAGCTTACAATATCTCTCTAATTTGCTTAAGACAATTTTCATTTTCTTAGTTATTAATTAATTTACTCGTTTTCATACAGTATGTCAAAACTCTTAGTAATGTGTGATTTAAAGCTTCCATTAGAAGATAATTTGTTTTTCCTTAAGAGCAAATAGGGTGGACCTCGCAATATACATGAGAAAATTGCCGACTTGTCTTTGATCAACGCAACTTCAAAAGATCTGTTTTAAATATAAATATTAATCGGATCATGCTCAGACACAGGCGCGGATCCAGGATTTCTTAGGGGGGGGGGCCCAAATTTGAAATTATGCGAGCCAAATATTGGTACGTAACGATGACCAACAGTGACGTAATGCGGAGGGGGGGGGTCGGTCGGTGCAGAGAGGGGCGAGTTTTCCCCCACCCTCCTCCACGAAACGCGGAAGCTTTGACGTTTCATTAAATATTAGAGAAAGAAGACGATTCGTTGTAGAGTTCTCGACTCTTAATCCTTGTCGTAATTCAGCCCCCCCCCCCCCCCCCCCCCCCCCCCCTCCTGCGCGAAGCGCGGAAGCTTTTACGTTTTATTAAATTATTAGTGAAAGAAGACGATTCACTGTAGAGTTCTCGACTCTTAATTCTTGTCTAAATTCAGCCCCCCTCCCCCTCCTGCGCAAAGCGCGGAAGCTTTGACGCTTCATTAAACTATTAAAGAAAGAAGACGATTCGTTGTACCGTTCTCGACTCTTAATCCGCGTCTGAATTTAGTTTTTCCCCCTCCCGCGCAAAGCGCGGAAAATTTTACGTTTTATTAAATTATTAGAGAAAGAAGACGATTCGTTGTAGAGTTCTCGACTCTTAATCCTCGTCTGAATTCAGGTTCCCCCCCTCGCGAGCGAAGCGCGGAAGCTTTTACGTTTCATTAAATCATTAGAGAAAGAACGACTCGTTGTACCGTTCTCGACTCTTAATCCTCGTCTAAATTCAGTCCCCCCCTCCCCCTCCTGCGCGAAACGCGGAAGCTTTGAAGTTTCATTAAAACTATTAAGAAATAATACGATTCGTTGTAGAGTTCTCGACTCTTAATCCTCATCTGAATTCAGGTCCCCCCCCCCAAGCTTTTAAGTTTTATAAGATTATGAGAGAAAGAAGACGATTCGTTGTACCGTTCTCGATTCTTAATCCTTGTCTAAATCCAGTTTTCCCCCCCCTCCCCCTCCTGCGCGAAGCGCGGAAGCTTTGACGTTTCATTAAACTATTAAAGAAAGAATACGATTCGTTGTAGAGTTCTCGACTCTTAATCTTCTTCAGAATTCAGGTTCCCCCCCCCCTCCCACGCGAAGCGCGGAAGCTTTTCATTTAATCATTAGAGAAAGAAGACGATTCGTTGTACCGTTCTCGACTCTTAATCCTCGTCTGAATTCAGGTCCCCCCCCCCCCACCCGCGCGAAGCGCGGAAGCTTTTAAGATTCATAAGATTATGAGAGAAAGAAGACGATACGTTGTACCGTTCTCTATACTCTTAATCTTGTCTGAATTTCAAAGATTTTCTTTGTCTGCTCCTTTTACTTTCTTCTACGTCCTCTTCCGATTTGGGGGGACCGCCCCCCCCCTGGCTGGCTACGCGCCTGCGGTCAGATAAACACATTTTGATAACTTGTCCGGCTCCGGAAGCTCAGGGGTTTTAGGGTTTAATTAAAGGGATCGTTTAACAATGTTAAATCTGAGATAAACGGCCCTACGTGTTATCAGTGTCTGTGATATGATGTAATATTGAAGCCCTAAAAAACTTGCGCTTCAAAATGATCAAGAAGTGCCTCAAAAAAGTAAAAATCTTTGAGTGACCGGTTTTACCATACTCGTTTTTCCCCAATAGACTGTAGTGTTATGAAAACCGTCAGGCGAACGGTTTTCAAAATTTGTAATTCCAGTCATAAATATCTTGATAATCAGACAGGCGATCGGCTTGTAAAAGTCACGGGGTTCCTGACTGACCTAAAGGTTTATAATTATCATTGCATCATGAGCTAAATCCAGAATATGTTTTCAGAATCTGAGACAAAGTTACCGGATCCCTTTAAGGTCAGATGATCTTTTTTTTTAATACCTATTATTTTGTGACACTGGCAGGTCACTATTTGGCGTGGGGTCCAGGGGGCGGATCCCCCCAAAAGCGGGGTTTTAGGCATTAAATTACCGTCAGATGAGCATCTAAGGGCCCGCCGTAGCGTCCTAGGTGGAATCCAGGGGGTAGAGCCCCGGAAGCTTAAGGGTTTTAGGCATTTAATCACGGTCAGATGAGCATATTTTGATGACTCATTTTTTAACACTGGCAGTTAACTATTCGTTCTTTCTTGCGCTCATTCTATTTTTTTTCTTCTCTTAATATACTTTTTCAAATAAAGTGGGGGGGGGGGGGGGGGGAGGGAGCTCGAGGCTCCCGATCCCTGCCGTACCTCGGGCCCTGACATGTAGGAATCTCAAAATCATATTTCGTGCCTGGCTGTAAATTTAGGAATTTGTCATTTTCCAACAAACACATATACAAACGTATTTACTAAAAAGTGAGGACAAATCTCGGAAATTATGTCATTTATGACATTGTAACCATCCGTTGTGAACCACGTTTGAATTTGATTTCCCCAAAGCCCCCCCCCCCCCCCCCCATTAGTATGCCAGTATCTCCTCTTTTCCTTTTTTCTTTCCCTTTCCTTCCTTCTCTCTTATTTTTTTGATTGGAGGGGGGGCGGGTCAACAGCCTGGGAGGAAAGGCCCTTTCGGTCCCCCCGATCTCCTTCTTCCTCCTTTTCTTTTATTCTTCTTCTTCTTCTTCTTTCTTTCCCTTTCTCTCCTCTTTCCCTTTCCCTTCTTTTCCCTTTCTTCTCTCTCTTTTTTTTTTTTTTTTTTTTGCGGGGGGGAGGGGGGGGGGGCCAAGGCCCACGCTCGGGCCCCCCCCCTGGATCCGCGCCTGCTCAGACTTACACTGGTTATCTCATTTGTTATACTTCTATCAAATCCAAATAAATATCTGAGTGGACTTCGTATTGATCATAAAGATGAAGATGTATGGGTAGGGGTGTAGGCATACATATATTTGTTTTCATGCTGGTTATAGGATAGGCACCTTGAGAGAAACACTCTCGAATCATCTTTCACCAGTGGCGTACGCAGGAATTTTTCAAGGGGGGGGGGTTAAATCGGACCCCAAAAATCGCAACGACTCAGCCAGCCGCTGAATAAGCGTGGGGGGGGGGGGGGGGGGGGGGGGGGTTTCCAAAAAAAATACATACAAAAATACACATAAAAAACTCAAGTTGGGGGGGTTTAACCCCCCCCCCCCCCCCTGCGTATGCACCTGTCTTTTCACCTTTACCATTTCTCAAAGTTGTATTATTGTGTTTTCTTGACAACTATCTAACACCCTATCGTCAATGAGAACAAGGAATTACGGTGAACCCATGTTTGTTATGCTTAAAGTAAGACCAGTTTAGGAAACGCCCCCCCCCCCTCAACAAAATGAAATGGAAGCTCTTTTTACAATCATGTGAAATGATATGTTTCGACTAATACGTGATGATACACAATGTTATATATATTAAACCCGGAATGGCATATCTACCTCCCTCCATATGCCACTATGAGGAATAATGAGTAAGGATGACTAAGCAATCTTTTATTCATGTCATCCATTTATATTTTCCGTAGTGGATCTCTTATATCTTATTATTTTAACTCTGTATTCCAATTTACATTAAATTGTACTTTCCATGTACATTGCCAGCACCTTGAACATTTTGGGGAATGGATACAAGAATGGGCTATCTAAATACTTATTATAGTATATTATCATTCAGTCTAATTCGCTATATAATACTTATTATTATTATCTTTATCATTCAGTCTAATTCGCTATATAAATATTTATTATCCTTATCATTCAGTCTAAATCGCTATATAAATACTTATTAGTATTATCATTATCATTCAGAGTCTAATTCGCTATATAAATACTTATTAGTATTATCATTATCATTCAGTCTAATTCGTATTGATTTATTATCGATGATTCATCTCTTGCAGAGTCATGGCTGATCTTGGAGGACCGCGGGGCCCGTGTGGCTCATCGCTGCACCATGCCACACGGGCCGGGAGGCGCTGTAAGCGCACGACGCGACACGGGAGCCGGGTGTGCTGGCAGCACCGGGCAATGATGGGGGCGGAAGAGTGAGTACATTTACTATTTTTATGCCTCCGTTACGAAGTAGCCACGGGAGGCATTATGTTTTCGGGTTGTCCGTCCGTCCATACGTACTACGTACGTCCCGTTCTTGTGATCGCGTTATCTGAAGAACCGATAGATGGATTCCTGCCAAACTTTGGTCATGTATGTATCTTGCAAAGCCGATGAACTGATTAGATTTTGGGGTCACGAGGTCAAAGGTCAAAGGTCACAGGGCTCATTATGTATGCATAAACAGCTTGTGATCGCGTTATCTCAAGAACCGATTGAATGGATTGCTGCCAAACTAGGTCATGTATGTTACTTGCAAGAGCCGATGAAACTGATTAGATTTAGTGGTCATGAGGTTAAAGGTCAAAGGTCACAGGGCTCATTAGGTATGCATAAAACAGCTTGTGATCGCGTTATCTCAAGAACCGATTGATGGATTGCTGCCAAACTTAGGTCATGTATGTTACTTGCAGAGCCGATGAACTGATTAGATTTAGTGGTCATGAGGTCAAAGGTCAAAGGCCACAGCACACATATTGTATGCAAAAACAGCTGTGATCACGTTTATCTCAAGAACCGATTGATGGATTCCTGCCAAAATTAGGTCATGTATGTTACTTGCAGAGCCAATGAACTGAGTAGATTTTGGTTCATAAGGTCAAGATCATGGGCTCATTATGTATGCAAAAATAGCTTGTGAACGCATTCTCATTAGAACTGACAGATGGATTACTATTTAACTCGGGACATCTTGCAGAGCCAATGACCTGAGAGATTTAGGGTCATGAGGTCAAAGATCAAAGGGTGATATATTGTATATGAGAAATTGCTTGTAATCACGATATTCTGAGAACCTGTCAATGGATTACAATTGAACTTGAATTCGAAAAATTTCTTCTGTTTGGTTTGTAAAATTGCTGCTCTATGAGGAGGCATCATTTTTCGACTGCTGCGCAGCTAGAATTCCATCTAGTTTGAAATGTTAATTTATCAGAAGCCACTCAATTTTCCTGAGGTTCTGACGAATTCTTTTTCGCTTTCAGAGTTATGAACCCTAAATATGACCATTTGGAATCATGAATCTCTTTGAAGTAACGAATCTATTTCATTTTTTGGAATTATAAAGCCTATGTAATTTGAATTATGAATCTTATTTTGAAAATGTGTGCCCTACTGGATTTTTTCGGAAATGTATTGTAACAACATTAAGAATTATGAACTTTCGGAAAAACGTCATTTTATCGAGGTATCATGATTTAGTGAAGAGGAATGATTTCACTGGGACTATCACATGGTTCGGGATTCGAGTCCCGCCGCATCACTACAGTCCCCTTAAAAAGACATTTATCTATATTTGCCGCTGTCTATCCAGGTGTACCCTGGTAGGATGTTATTCCTTTAACTCTTAAGCTGCCCTATGCAATTCACCCAGTGCCACAGTGCTAATCCCTATTGTGCCCGCTACTAATCTCCTGTGTGCTAAGTTAATTTAGGGTTGGTTCAAGTGCGTGTATAGTTTAAATTGTTACTATGTTTTGATCCACTATAACATCTCATCTGTATATTGTATAAAAAAGATTGTACGTTAAAGTTGTAGGAAATTTAACCCTCTTTCTGTTGATACCAATATCATTTCATGAATCTGTAATTTTGGTAAAGTAATAAGCACTTAAGTGAGTTGTCAAACCAATCCGTTGTCTCATTTTCCCGCACACAATCTGAGGGGCCATGATCAAAATGACAAATTTGATGATAAAATATCGCATTTTTCTCAGAAAAATCCAATGTAACGGTATACGTGAAGCACGCAAAATCAAAAAAAAATAAACCCCCTCCACAAATACAGTAAGCATTCATGCGTGCACGCAATGCGCATCGCACAATAGGCATAAACAATAGCTTGTGTACTTATGCACGAAAATGTGTCCGTGGCACGCGAGCGGATGAGAGTTTATGTGTCCATGGCAAGTCAACAGAAACCCGATTATGTGTGCGTGGCACGCCAGCGCATGCACAGAACAGTGTTCTTGGCACGATAAGAGTTAAAGCCCCACTGTCCTACCTGTAGCTACTTGCTCCCTCTATATAGAAAACTTCCCCAATCGGTGCCTGTTGGTCCCCCATGATCTTTTTCTTATGTTGAGAGCTGAGTTGATGAGATAGCCACCTGTCATTGACCTCGCTGTGTGGTCTTATCCCTTCTTGTCCAGTAGTATTGATGGACTTTCATGATTTGAGCACCGTTTGGTCATTTAAGCAGAAAAGGGGAGGACTTTGGATGAAAAAGTGAAATGATTTCAACAATTTTCCATCTGGGATTTGCACTTCAGCGAGGATGTGGGTCATCCTGAAGAACTATAGTAAGCCATGTTTAAAGGAAAACTCACCTTTGATAATAAGTGTAGGTATTCTGACAAATTAGATGTCACCATGCCCTTTGATGTACAATTTTCCTTACGAAAATGTACAAAAGAGAAATTTATATATATCCTTACTATAATTTGGCTAATCTTGTGTGTATGTGTCCTTCCGTTTGTTTGACGGCGCTTTTCTCTGTGGTCTTCCACTCAATCGAGTCGGAATTCCGCCCATTCCCAGTTTTAAAACCTCCAGATTGCCATGAAGAGGTTTATTTCAACCAATTTTGTCTATTTGGGGGTTCTAATTTAAAATACGTAAGTTTCTATTCGCTGATCCAACAGGGAATAGGAATGCTTTGTAGGCACATTGTGCAATGAGGATCAGCGCACACGCGGGAATTCGATTCCCCCCTTCCCCCCCCCCCCTCTGATAATAGGTACCCTTTTCCGCAAAAATGACCCTTAAAATTGGGTACATGTTTGATGGCTTCCGAGCAGAACAGCCCGTCGGAACGGCAAATCTGCCCAAATGCCCCCCCCCCCCAGCAATCCCTTTGATAAAAAGCTTAATTTTAATTGTTCATTTATCCCTTTGATCATTACCGGATCAGTTATTTGATGAAAGGTCAGTTTGTTACGGGTAAAATCTGCTAGTATATAATAAATGGAGATATTCTTGGCATGACATGGGCGTAGCCATTTTCTTGAACATGTGACGTACCGGTTGAAATTGTACATGAACATGTATCATGCACCAAGCTTAGTTGGAAAGACTTTTAAAATTGATAGCAAAGTCTTACTTTTCAATGAGGAAAAATCATAGCCGTGAAGATCAAAATTATATTAGGTGAAAAATATATAACAGGAGAACAATTGTTACTAAATCATTTTTAAAACCTTATATAGCAGTTGACAAATCTATTTCATTTATGAGAAAACCGTCAACCCAAAAGAGCACCAACTTATTTATGTAATTTGCGTTCTGGTAATTGTAGTACAAAGGATAATAGCAGGTGAATGAAATGCTTCATCACCACTTACACCTAGGAAGGAAGATTCTATAAATTTGAATACATTTACTTGATAAACACTTCACATCTAGTATACGTCAAGTTATCAAGAAAATGGCGATGCACACGCATATTATGGCGATTAGGCAAGTACCAATACGTGGGGAACGGGGGTTCTATACTCCTCACAATATCAATAATAGTGCCTACGACTAGTATGAATACTGATAATAGCAACATACTAATGGTTCTAAGAATTGTATAGTAAAACACATGTTATAAAGCCCGTCTGCACTAGTTTGGCCAGTGGGGATTACACCTCCCTGCAAGGTCACTGACAGGTGGTTATCTCGTCAAAATCAGCTCTCAATTAACATAAGAAAAAGGGATCATGGAGGACCAACATGCACCGATTAGGCATTGTTTGCTATATAGAGGGCGCAAGTAGCATAAGTAGTGCAGTGAAGCTTTATGGAACTACTCTGATAGGTGCTTTGAAAAAGGTACCAAATTACTGCACTAGGATGTAGAGTGGCAAATGTTGATTAGTGTCGACCTTGCCAAATGATGTTTGTGCTGTGGCAGGGATCAAACCTTTGTGATCCATAGTCCAGAGACTAACTACACCACAACACCTCTACAACCACTTTGAAGTAATTGATTCGTGCACGTCATATGTATTCGCTACACTTGCCAGTATGTTTTCTGGCTTGTAACCTTGTTGCCCCCCCCCCCCCCCCCCCCCCCCCCCCCCCCCCCCCCGTTTCACAAAATTCTGGATCTGAAATTATAATTCCCCCTAAAATCTTTACACCCCATTACTCCTAAGTACAAAACAAATCATTAATAAATGTCATACTACTATTCATATTATATTATAACCATCTCATTGGTAAGCACATTTAGACAGGAAAAAAAGGATAATTTTGTGTTAAAAAAGCACTGTAAAGTACAATTATTAAGAAGATATCTAATTAGTTTATAAACTATAGAAAACAACCTTCATCTTTTCAAAACTGGTTTCTAGTAGTTGCACTTCACATCTGAATGTTCAAGATGTTTTTAAATATGATGTTTTTAGTGTTATTCGTGACTTAATCATTAAAGGTGGACTGGTTGAATTGGGGTCTTTGTTGCACACATTTAGATGTAAGTTTTAATATGACAAATTGTCAAGAAACATAAATCGGGAAAATCATTCTTTAACAATAACAAATTACAAAACTTTCTTACGTTCTTACTTTCATCTTGCGCCACAAGGACATTTGGGGTTGTGCATCATAAATACTCTTTAATAGTTGCCATAGTCATTATTCATCCTTTTTCAATGCTTCTTGACTTATATCTTCTTCTTCAAACCAGATTGGAGCAGCTGCAGCACCCCCATCGCTGCCAAGCCCACATCCGCAACGGGCTTGGGCGACAGTGCTCCCGTGTCGCCAAAAAGAGATACGTTATCCCTTATTGCCGCCAGCATTGTAAGTACAGGGCAAAGTCCCGTCAGACACAGCACAGATAACTGGATTAAAAGGACAATTACAGCAAAATAAAGTGGAACCTGTATATGGCGACCACTCAAGGCGGGTAGCCTTTATGTACAGGTTCCTTGAGTACACATTCCGATGACAAACGCTAGTCAAGGAAGCGGAAATGTGGTTATTATAAATGGGTGGTCTTTTTATACATATGGTTGCCAAATCAGCTTTTGCTTCATAAACAGCTTACTTATTAACAAATATGAATTTTGTATGTGTGCTGCAAGAAAATGTATATACACTATGAATTACACAACACTTATTTTGCCAATTAATTTCTTTAAGGTTTTGTTTTCTTTTTTGAGGCAGCTTACCCCAATCTATGTGAATGAAACATAACACGATTAATTGCACTTTAGAATCATGTCAACTTTATAATAGTGTAAACCCAAATATTTACCTTTCAGAGGAAATTGTTAGTAGTATCATTGTACACATTCAAGAAGAGAATATTTGCTTCGTAGCGTTGTACCCCTGTTAATATCTTTGCTATTATCAATATGTTTTTCTCCTGTTATATAACACAAATCTCTGAGACGGATTTCAATGTATGTATTTACGATTAAAGACTTCATGCAATTATTAACAAATAATAAATCTTGATATCAGTGCAAATGTAGTGGTGTTTTTTAGTTAATTGTGAGAACAAAACTTTTTTTCTGTAGTTCAGACACATCCTAATGAAAACAGATATTAATAGAATCTGCCCCTCAATAGACGCTTGAGATAGGGTCGGCTAGTTAATACCGGTATCTGGGAGAGGGGGTGGGGGGGGGGGGGGTTCTGGTATTTTCCTTGACTCCCCGTGGCTGCATTCATATCATCTGTATTGCATTGTTTTGTGTACATGGTTCCAGCATATTTCTGCTACCGTTTCTCCTTTTCCCGTAAATTGTTTGTGTCACACCTTGTCCTTTCTCTTTTTATTTCACACTGCAATCATTCCTATAATCTTCTGTAAATATTACAATTGTGATTGATTTTGTTTGAATAAAAACATGAATAAAAAACGACCATTTACAGAAAACTATCATGCATCATAACCTTTTCATAAATTATCATGAGTGTCTGAAAAAAGGCACGTGGCTGTATTGCTCCCCCAAGCAGTAGAAAACGTGCACAATTGTATTAAAGTGGGAAAGTCTGAATCCGATGACAAGGGTAATTATATTTCTACCTGGTATTTCTTTAAATTGGTTACATACTTGGATACATCAAGCACTATATAGATCCATCATATTGGTATCATTATTACTTATTACAAAGACGTAGTGTCTACATGTACCCAAACAAAAAATACATGTTCGATGGGCTTAACATTCGTTCTCATGTTGGATGGCTTAACATTCGTTCTCATGTTTTTTTCATTCGCAGATTACATCCATAGAAATATAGACGCCTGGTCATCGGACGACGACCTGTAGACCTGATGACCTGTGACGCTATCTTTTATGTAAGATCATGGCAAGTAGTTCACTATGACAACTGAACAGGTTATTTTATTATACATTTCAGCAGAGGCTGCGGGGGGTGTCATCCTTTGAATATGATGTTACTTAGTCCTTTTACATTTCAGCAAAGGATTTTTTTCTCTCCTTTGAATAGAACTTAAAAGTTTAACAACATCTTGCATTTTTCCTGCATACTGATATCATAATGATGAATTTATTATGTACGAGCCCACATACATACATACATACATATTGCTATTTATATAGCGCCTTTATATAAACATGCTCAAATTATATTTACATAAGCAACTCAAAAAAGTTGTGCACCACATGAACTAAGCCTGGTTCTAATTCACACAGTACACAACCCCGTTCACATTCACGCAAATAAAACACAATAATTATTCTTATTTTGCTCTCCAAGTGCGTACACTGTAAATTTGGTATGTAAAGCTGTGTAAAGCAACTCAAAAAAAGTTGTGCACCACATGAACCAAGCCTGGTTCACACAGGACCCAACCTCGTTCACATCCCACATAACTCCACACAACTCCACACAAGCATACATGCCAACTGTTCAGATTAAAGAGGAACATTCCTCTTTTTGGGAGAAGATAATTATCATTTTAATGCAGGTGTTCCTCTTCCTGTACAAATTTGTCTGTAGTATTGAATAGGAGAGTTAGGATTGTTCCTCTTTTTTTTGAAAATAGCATAATTTGTACAGATTTCTGATTTTCAAATGTTGGCATGTATGCACAAGTTCCACACAACTCCACACAACTCCACACAACTCCACACAAGTTCCACACAATTCCACACAACTCCACTGACAACTCCACACAACTCCACACAACTCCACACAACTCCACACAACTCCACACAACTCCACACAACTCCACACAACTCCACACAACTCCACACAACTCCACTGACAACTCCACTGACAACTCCACTGACAACTCCACACAACTCCACACAACTCCACACAACTCCACACAACTCCACACAACTCCACACAACTCCACACAACGCCTTGTCAAAAAACAATTACATAGAACACAAGGACCCTAAATACTATTTGCAAAGCCGATATTTGCCCTTCGGTTAAATTGTGAGTATATACGTACATCCACTTATCATAGCCCTTTCATTTCTGCAGACTGAGGCCATTTTTTGTTTTTGTTGCTTTATTTCTTTTGCTTGTTGGCAGGTAAAGTGTTAACTGGTATCAGCACGCTCGGACTCGATTTGATTCATTTCTGCTAATGTTGGAGATGATCACATTTATCATCCCTCATGGTATGCAGTCTATATGGTACTTTTTAAGTGCTCCCAGTCTTCACTCAACATCTTCCCTGTTCGCGATACTGTTTAGCTACTCTGGAGCATTGTCTCCCAAGTCCATCCTGCAGCTGCAGCTGCTCCAATCTTTTTTTGAAGAAGACGATATAGGTCAAGGAGCACTCTTCCCTGTTCGGGATACTGTTTAGCTACTCTTGTCCTTTTAATCCAGTTATCTGTGCTGTGTCTGACGGGACTTTGTCCTGTACTTACAATGCTGGTGGCAATACGGGATGATATATCGCTTCTTTGCGACACTGGAGCACTGTCGCCCCAGCCCATTCCTTATGTGTGCCTGACAGCGATGGGGATGCTGGAGCTGCTCCAATCTTTTTTTGAAGAAGACGATATAAGTCAAGGAGCACTCCACATCTTCCCTGTTCGCGATACTGTTTAGCTACTCTTGTCCTTTTAATCCAGTTATCTGTGCTGTGTCTGATGGGACTTTGTCCTGTACTTACAATGCTGGTGGCAATACGGGATGATATAACGTTTTTTGGCGACACTGGAGCACTGTCGCCCCAGCCCATTCCTGATGTGGGCCTGACAGCGATGGGGATGCTGCAGTTGTTCCAATCTGTTTTGAAGAAGAACATATTCTTTTAAAATTCTTTTAGAAGTTGCGCAAGACCCGAAAGAAAAAAGTAAGCGAGCGGCGGGGCGCCATCCATATGCGTTCCCGAGCAATCGGAAAAATCGTGTAGGGGGGGGGGGGCATAATGCCCTCCCCCAGCCTTATTAGGGTTAATTCTATAACATACGTTTCAATGAGATGTCTATGAAGTTAGATGTATGACGGTTTCGAGAAACGGCCCCAGACCACTTGAAAGTTCTAAAAGTGAGTATTGAAACATTTTCTATTAGGAATTGTTGAAAGAAAAAGAAATACCTTCATGTTTATGACCAGGTCTTTTCCACACATTTAAACAGAAAAGTGAACACAATTCCTATTAATCATATAGGTCATGGAACATAATCACCAACATATTTAAGTCTACTGCTCGGTGCTGAATCCGCCCGGTACAGAATGTAGTATACTCTGTAAATTATACGATTCATTTAATCACTCTTTAAGAAAGGAGGGATTGATTTCTCATAATGAAAACCTTACTAGACCCAGAGTTGATAGAGCTGGTAAAATACTATCACTGATAGAGAAAAGGCAATGTCAAAGAGCCTTTTTATTTTCAGGGTTATGATAATAATAATGGGCATTTATATAACGCCGCCCCTCTGTGTTTCTCCGGAAATTTTTTAATGGAAGTTAGTAGCTAACTCAGCGGGATATTATCACCAGCAAAACAATAATATTGGGGAATAATTTCCTGAAAGGTGAAAAACCATTAAATGTCTTTGGAATTATTTTGGTCTAGAGAAGAATAGCTCGAGTAGCATAATAAGAATGACTATCTCAAGGGATAAATGTGAATGCTGTTGTCAAATTTGTTTGTATCTCAGTCCTTACTGTAAAACAAGTACCTGTAGGTGCAAACAATGTCACTTTTGTTGCAATGGGACTGTTTAGGCTTCCATTAGTAATCTCTCTTATTTTTTCTCTCCTTTATTTCCATATCTTATTTTAAGCTACGGTCACAAAGGTTCGTATGAACGATGCCATCGTACGGATCTCCCTATTTTTTTCATTGTCTGAAAATTGTTTGTACGTCGTTCGTAGCAGTTGGTAATGGCATTTGTGACCGAGGCTTTAAGCTACATCTCTGTTCTGCCGTGTATCTAGAAACATGAACTCACATTTTCCTTTTCTGTTCCGATTGTTCAAGGTTGTTTCCTCAAACAGTATGATTCATGTGGTGATGATGTAGCAGGAAACCTTTGTTTGGAATCACTCAACAATCTCTGGGAAGCTGCCTGACGCCTGGACTATGAAGACCCAAGCCTCGGGTTTTGTCACTGGGTGGATGAGCAGCGAGTTTCATTGAGTCGGTATGGTAAGACAGTCATGTAATTTAGCATCGTTGCCTGTAAAATCACTTTCCTACCAGTAATTTTTAAAAAGGAGGAAAAGGGATGGGGAATACAATTTTGTTTTAAATCCTGCACTATTTTTTATTTCTTTCAAACTTGGCATCTTTGGGGGGTGGCGAGAGTAAAACAAATGCTTACAGTAATTATGATACTTTTATCAAAATAAGTTACATAATTTTGCAAACTTTTTATTGATGATGGTAGTTTTATATTTCTGATATACCATACAAGGCGACCCCTTCCAAACATTCTCTATGAATGATCCAACATACTAAGGCTACCCCTTCGAATCATTCTCTATGCATGATCCAACAAAGTTACTAAGGCCATCCCTTCAAATCATTCACTATGAATGATAGACCATACAAGACGATCCCTTCAAACCATTCTCTGTTAATGATAAAGCATATTAACGCAATCCCTTCAAATCATTCTCTATAAATGATAAAGCATATTAACGCCATCCCTTTAAATCATTCTCTATGAATGATAAAGCATATTAAGGCGATCACTTCAAATCATTCTCTATGAATGATAAAGCATATTGAGGCCATCCCTTTAAATCATTCTCTATGAATGATAAAGCATATTAAGGCAATCCCTTTAAATCATTCTCTATGAATGATAAAGCATACTAAGGCTATCACGTCAAATCATTCTCTGTGAATGATAGATCATACGAGGCAAATCCTTCAAAACATTCTCTATGAATGATAGAATGTAAGGCTACCCCTTCGAATCTTTCTCTATGCATGATCCAACAAAGTTACTAAGGCCATCCCTTCAAATCATTCACTATGAATGATAGACCATACAAGACGATCCCTTCAAACCATTCTCTGTGAATAATAAAGCATATTAAGGCCATTCCTTCAAATCATTCTATATGAACGATACAACTTACTAAGGAGGCCATCCCTTCAAATCATTCTCTACGAAAGATCCAACGTACTATTAGGCGATCCCTTCAAATCATTCTCTATGAATGATAAAACCTATGAAGGCCATCTCTTTAAATCATTCTCTGCGAATGATCCAACAAACTAACTCGATCCCTTCCAATAATTATCTATATCAAATGATAGAATAAACTAAGGCTATCCCTTTGAACCATTCTCTCTGAATGATAAACCATACAAGTCAATCCCTTCAAATCATTCTCTATGAATGATCCAACATAGTTAATAAGGCGATCCCTTCAAATCATTCACTATGAATGATCCAACATAGTTAATAAGGCTATCCCTTCAAATCATTCTCTATGATTAAAGTATACTAAGGCAATCCCTTCCAATCATTCTCTATGAATGATCCAACATAGTTAATAAGGCTATCCCTTCAAATCATTCACTATGAATGATAAAGCATACTAAAGCTACATGTATCCCTTCAAATCATTCTCTATGGATGATAAAGCATATTAAGGCAATCCCTTCAAATCATTCACTATGAATGATAAAGCATACTAAGGCTATCCCTTCAAATCATTCTCTATGGATGATAGACCATACTAACGCGATGCCTTCCAATAATTATCTATATCAAATGATAGAATGTATAAAAGCTATCCCTTCGATGCATTCTCTATGAGTGATAGAACATTCAAGGCCATTCCTTCAAATCATTCTCTACGAATGATCCAACGTACTATTAGGCGATCCCTTCTCATCATTCTCTATGAATGATAGAACATACAAGGCCATCCTTTGAAATCATTCTCTATGAATGATAAAGTATACTAAGGCAATCCCTTCAAATCATTCTCTATGAATGATGAAGTATACTTAGGCAATCCCTTCAAATCATTCTATTTGAATGATACAATTTACCAAGGAGGCCATTCCTTCAAATAATTCTCTATAAATGATCCAACGTACTATTAGGCAATCCCTTCAAATCATTCTCTACGAATGATCCAACATACTAACGCGGTCCCTTTGAAGAATTATTTATATCAAATGATAGAATATACTAAGGCTATCCCTTTTGAATCATTGTCTATTAATGATCGATCATACGAGGCAATCCCTTCAAATCATTCTCTATGAATGATAAAGCATATTAAGGCTATCCCTTCAAATCATTCTCTATGAATGATAAAGCATATTAAAGCCATCCCTTCAAATCATTCTCTTTGAATGATAAAGCATATTAAGGCTATCCCTTCAAATCATTCTCTATGAATGATAAAGCATATTAAGGCAATCCCTTTAAATCATTCTCTATGAATGATAAAGCATACTAAGGCTATCACGTCAAATCATTCTCTGTGA